TGACCTGGGACGCATGCGGCCCTTGGGCCGCAGGTTGGACAAGCCTGGTTTAAATTAACAGCATTAACAAGGACAATATGAACACTATTTATCAGTCCAAACATTCATATGTTTCTGTACCTTTCCTCCCTCCCCCGCCTTCCTCTCTCTCTCTCTCTCTCTCTCTCAATTTTAATATCCCAGTCATGTTCCCACACCTCACTCAGCCTTCACGAATAAGTGGATGATTGGGCACATAATTGACATTCATTGCTTAGCTTCCTTCTCCTGCTGTGACTTCCAAGATGATTCTACCATGTTTGGGGAAAAACCTGATAGGAATTTGGCCTGTGTAGTAGGCTTATTTGTACGACAAAGACGTTCTAGCTATGTACACAGGTTTTCTTTAACAGGGCAATTAAATAAGAGCCCTTTCTCTAGGAAAGAGAAACCTCCAGCCCCAAAGGCCTAATAGGGCCTGCATCCGACCCACAGCAATCCCTTTGCTAACTTCAGTGATGAGAGAAGAAGTATGTTACCCCTGTGCCCCTGATGTTCCTGTGAGCTGCTGCTGCTTTCAAATCTTCACATTGACAATGGAGGCTTTTAAAGGCGTAACTTCAGCCAAGTGACAATCCTCCATAATGCAAAAATCACTCTTTGTTGCAATGAGGCCTTTAAATGCTTCCACTGGTGTCAGTAGAAGCCTTTTCCAGAGGTGTGTGAAGAGACCAGCTAGATCCCGTCTGGGCAGTCATTTTAGTGAACCTTCTCACTTTGGGATGTAGCTGGACCTCCTGCTGGCATCTAGTGCCAGACATGTTTTCCCTAATCCAGTTTGACTCTTGGGCCAAAAAAGAAAGAAAGAAAGAAGTTCTCATGCCCTGTTTTTTGTTGGTTTCATACTCTGGAAATCCTATAGGTATGTACAGACATACATATATTGTTCATTTTTATGAGACATATTCGGAGAAGAACAACAGAAATATTTGTTTGGCCTGATGTATGGAGCAGCTACAGTGTCTCAGTAATCAGTAAGATCTTGCCTGTTCCATGAGCAACCTATCTTCTGAGTATTCTTTCTAGATAGTTTAGTGAGAGGCATAACAGGAGAAATACAGCAAATCTGTCCAGCCAGGACATCTGGACTTTGTCATGGTCTAGGAACGAAAGGGCTTCTATCTGATGTTCTGGTGTCTGGACCAGGCTGACATGGTCTATGTCACAGTACTGTTTAGGATGATTCTCCCCAAGGTATCCTTTCACACTGAGGGCTGCTGGTTGAATCGCAGAACCCAGCAGGATGAGTGTTCAAGGCTATCCACCCACCACCACCGTTGATGCATTTTGCTCTGGGATTAGCAATGAGCTTCCCATTTTTCACAAAAAGCCTCTCGGAGATTTTGCTAGCAGGGATTCTGAACGCTTGGATTACGCAGGGCCAATCTGTCTGAGACAACTGCCGACTGTACTACTTTCTCATTTTTTTTCTACCATGGCTGCCAGATTCAATAGGTCCCAACTGCTGAGGAGAGCCGAAGGCCCTACAACAAGGTAAGATTTCTTCCACACAAAGTCCATGAAACTGGCATAGGATTTACCTGGCTTTGACTGAGGCGCCCTTCCTAATTATCAGTCTATCGGAGCCTATGGTGCATAGAAAGAGTTTATTTTTTTTCCCCTTTCCATGTTGATTTCTGTGTATAGATTTATTAGGATGGGATAATAAACACACTTCCCTGCCCCTGGATAAAACATCCTTGGCAGTTATTGCTAATAGAGGAAGATTTTGGGCAGCCATCCATGTCTTTGCTAAAAACAATGATGATTAAAAAATGTATATACTGTACCATATCTCAGTAATTACTTCCAAATTAATTTAGAATATTAAATAATGGTCTATAGAAACATGGGAAGTGGCTGTCATATACTGAGCCAACCTATTTGCCCCTCCCTCCCTGTATTGCCTGCTCTGGCTGGTGGCAGCTTCGAAGGGTTTCAGAAAGAGATCTTTTCCATCACCTTCGGCCTGAACATTCAAACTGGAGACACCAGGGACTGAACCTGCTGTGTTCTCTTATGCTGAGGACGTGCTGTACTGCAAGCTTTGGTCCTTCCCGGATGTAAGAAGATAATATAATCAATAAAACACGCTAAATAAATAACCAGAGAAACAGTAGAAGCCATGTTTCAGATTAAAATTCTGTGTTGGGAAAAGCTGAATCTGTGACAAGTCTGAAATTTGAACACCAGGCTACTTTTGCATGACTTCTCCTATTTTGCCCAACTTGTTCTGCGATTGTCCCTACTTTGCATAATAACGAGGGGCAAGAAGCTGGGTGAAGTACTGAAGCCCTGCTCTGGGTAGTAGAAATCCTTTTCAACCCCGCCACCCCAACAACATATTTGTGATTTTTGCAGGCCCTGCCATACACTTGGAAGCTTATTTGTGTTCCTTGGGGCTAGTCACCTACTTAAAACACACACACACACACACACACACAAACACAGTGAAAGCCGAAATCCTTGCACTGCTAATTCTGTACTTGGGATCCTAGCTTGTGCATTTTCTGCACTCTTGTAGAATTACAGGGCACAGAGAGTCCTGTTAGTTCTCCTTGTCAATGTCTGGAGTTCAGTCCAGTGACAGGTGTCATGTTCTCAGTTTCTAGAAAGCAATAAGAGTAGTTTTCATAATACCATCATATTTGCTGAATTCCGAACTGTTGCCCAAACCAGAATATTTTAATTGTTGTAATGGCCAACCTTTGGCTGAGATCATCTGGAATACTTCAGGTAAAGGCAACATGCAGCCCAGGAAGGTGCAGAGTTTAGCTTGTGTTCCTTTTTCCTTACAAGGTTTAAGTAAATATGACATTAGGATTAGCACACTGTGCATTGCCCAACTACAAAAAGGCAATCTAATAAGGCAAAAGCAAGGCAACAGACAAGAAGGTGATAATAATGATGATATCAAGTTATATATTCAATTTACAGTAACATTCTGGGATGAGGAGTTAGGATGCTGCAATAGTATCCCCATGATCCTATAACATTGACTTAAACCTTCAGCCTGCTGTTGCTGCTAATATGGTTGTCCATTTTGGCAAAAAACAACTGGTTCACAGATATTCATTTGCAACACTACAGAGGATTAGATATCAGGGGGTTAAATTTATATTTAAATTCCCATTCATTCATTTATTCATTCATGCGGACATATAAGAGAAACAATGTAACCTTTGGAGGCAAATTGCTACAAGTTTAAAAATTAGCATAGATTTTAAGTTGTGTGTGCTGGCTGCGCAAATTGGCAAACAACAGATAATGTCTATATTATCTTGTGGCAATTTGCTGCCAAAATGTATACCATTTGTGTTACGCCTACATAAAATGAAAATAAGATTTTGGCCAATATAACAGCTTAGTAATCAGTTGATCACCTTTTAGAATGCTTAAGAGATGGGTAGAGTTATCTTGGAGGTTGCTCAATTAGGCAGATATGCAGTGCAAGATCACATCCTGGACAGCAGTAAAAAAGTGTTGGAAGAGAGAACTGTCTTTCCATGCAGCTTGCCCTGAACCTCGCAAACTAGCCTTCTAAAAAATTAGAAAATAAAGAGGCTGCAATCTTATAACAGATTTCCTGAAACATGCACACCCGAGATGTGATGGCATTTACTCCTGAGCAACGATGCACATGATTGCATCACACATCTCTCAAATCTATGCATGTTGAACTTCAAGTATTGTCTGTCCAGAACTGAGCAGGCTGAGTACATAAAGCTATATATAATAATAACATAATACATTTATTTATTTAATTTGTATCTTGCTCTCATTAGTGCTGAGGCACTAAAATAAAGGAAAAAAAAACATTAAAAGCAACAAGAACAACCCTAAAAACAGATTGCACAGACTAATCATATAAACCTAGAGTGGATAGAGGAAAGGGAGGTGGGGGAAAAGGTGATCAGCTAGAGTCAATGTGGAAAGCCTCCCTGAAAAGCAATATCTTTCATTGTGTCCTAAATGTCAGCAGGGAGGGGACTAGAGGAGCCTCAACTAGGATGATCTTGTGGGTTGGGCAGATGACATTAAGGAAGGATAATCCGACAAGCAACATGGAGGGCTTTGTATGTGAGTGTCAAAACCTTGAACCTGATCCAGGACACAATGGGCAACCAGTGGAGGTGAGCCAGAACTGGAGCGATGTGGTCAAATTTACTCACACCCACCACACATCTGGCTGCCAAATTCTGGACCTGCTGAAGTCTCCGGATCAGGCTTACGGGAAGCCACACGTAGAGAGCGCTGCAGTAGTCAATCTGGGATTTGACATCCGGCAACATTTCTAGTAAAAGGAACAAACTCTGTCTCAGGTAATGTGATATGCAAGAATCCTGTGCTTATTAATATGTGCTATTAATGATACAACGATAGAATATTTAAATTACTCCTTATTTGAAACTCCTAGTTTTTAATTTTGACTCTACAATTGCACTCAGAACTATATAGCTTTAGTGGCTCTGTTGCAGCGAATGGGCCTTCTTTGGGTGATCTTTGGGGCTTCCATCCAAACTGGGATTTGACTCTCCATCCACCAGTTGCATTTCCTTAACACGACTGCCCGTTCTCTTCCTTGTTCATTTGGCAGGCTCTTTCTTCTATAGGATCAAGACTCTTCATCCTGTCCTCCTCTTCCCTCAGCGCACACAGGTTTTTCTTAAGCTGAGGACAAGAATTTCTGATTAGGCACAGTCCAACATGTCGGAGAATGTCATGAGTCAAACACCTGGTTGGAACAAATCTTGCATGGGTGAATGGATCTGATGCCCAATATTGCTGGATTTCACCCACCTCACCCCCCCGGACTCTCTTTCATTTGTGCTTCTAAGCACAGAGCTGGCCGAATAACTTTCCCAGACTTAAGTCTCTCTTAGAAAAATGTGTTGAGAAGCGGTGGGAAAAGCTTTCAAAAGTTTGACCTTCCCCACTGCTTTTTATTCCTCCCTGTTTTGCTTTTGGGTGGGGACAGTGCGGCGTTAGTTATTCATGAGCAGCAAAGGGGGAGCATCAGATTTGAACACAGCTTCCTGCAAAGTTTAAAAACGGCTTGCGTGGTGTCCTGGACTTCTTTATTAGAGCACTTGGGACTTTTAAACACACACACACACACGCATGCACGCACACGCACACGCACACGCACACGCACGCATTCTGCTCGTGGTAAAATGCCTCACAACCACCCCAAGAACCCCAGTCCAATCCCAGAGGTGACGTGGCATTCTGGGCTAAAAGAAATGAACGAGACCTGGAAAGGAGGGGTTGCCTGCCTTGGGGTGGCCGTGTTCTTTGTGATGACCATTGGCATTATTTACTGGCAAGTGGTGGATCAGCCCAACAAGAACTGGGTCCTGAGAGGGAGCACCAGTGGGTTTATCTGGGAAAGGAAAGCTCGCTCCCTCATCCTACAGACTCTCAGTGAGGAGAAAACCTTGCTGAAGATCAACCTGGGAAGTTTTCCCAGTGGGGACATGCCTTTCTTAAAGGATCTGTGTTGGCTAAACAAGACTGAATTCTGCTACACCTGGGAGACCATGGCAGACCTGAAGATTTCCCTGGGGTCCAGCCTTTCTGCCACCACAGAGTGCTACAACATCCACTGGATCTCTCTTCGCTGCCAGGTTAAGCTAAAGGTAACCTCTATTTACAGCCTCCCTCTATTTCACAAAACTACGTTGCTTTTGCTGGGCTTTCTGGTAGCATTTACTCTTGCATGATGATGGCATAGTGATGATAGTAATTGCTGTGCTAAACTTCATTCTAGCACTTAATACAGAAAAAAAAATGTATCTTGTCTTCCCAGTTTATTCAAATCCTGAGCACACATACTCGTGTAGATAAATAGTGGAATTCTTGACCTTTTTACACCTTCTGAGAATGTCGGGGTATAATGCCGAATATTAAACTGTGTGCTTATGAAATGAAAATGAGAAAGGCACCCTAGTAAATGAGTGAACTAAATCTTAAACTTATACTAGCTGTACTATTGTGATGTTGTTAAGCAGCGAGTAGAAGAAGTATATTTGTAAAAGTAGGTCAAATAAAAACACATACAATCACAATGGTGTCAGAAAATAAAAAGCTTTGAAAGGCCAATTGCCCCACAACCAAGAGATGGTTGTTGAGATTACTGCCTACAAAAGAGTCTTCGTAGTTTTTATTTTGTGTTTTAAAAGACTTAAGAGCAATTGTGAAAGTCCCTTTTGGGGAGAAAGATGGGATAGAAATACTGTAAACAAACAAACAAACAAACTGTCTGCAATGGAACTAAAATCTAAGAAGTGCCCTTCTCTCAGAATATCCAGAGTAGACGTGTGATAGTCATATTCTGAATACAAATATCCCATGTCTAATTCAAAGTGATAAAGTTTTTTGTTTCCTGAATGCACCATCTTCTTACAATGATATAAGGTCTGCAGTGTTAACCAGATGTACTTTGAAATGCACCAGTAATCCAAATTGAATTTTCTTCTAATTCAATGGTTTGTGACTTAGCACTGAAATATATGTATGTGTTTGAATATTTGTACAAGCACTTCTCCAGACTAGGGGCGGGGGGGGGTAGATTACTTTTTTTTAATTGTCCAACTGACATGTAATAAATTATTACAGAAAACAACATGATACTAAATAAACTTGCTTGGGCATTAAGTTGTATTAATGAGTGATATCAGGATTATCTAAGTATGGAATGTTAATTTTTTTAGCATTGCTAATGGAGAATAGAAAATGAGAGAGGCTGTTCGTTATTTTAATCAAGTGATTTATATAAATATATATTAACTGAAACATAGTTTTTATATTTGAATTAAAGGCATTTTGCGTTGAAGGCAAACATGATTAGAATGTCTGTAATGAAAACTGCTTTTTAAACTAGTGGATGATCAGCCTCACTTATCTGCTTTGCTTTTATCTCTACAGACACTGCAGATGGCTGGTTTGTTGTTATCTATGAATATATTAATCATTTTAAAATTAATCCAAAATCTAGGCAGGCAAGACTTTTCACATGAAAAAAAATAAAATTTCCTGTTTAGAAATCATATAACCACATAGAAATGGAACAGATTAGGTAACAGGAATTTCTATTTAAGTTATTGATGATGCTTCAAGAGAAAGCATCATAATTAATCTGTGTCATTCAGAAAAGGTTTGTGGGGGTTGAGGGTCCAGATCTTTTTACCTTTACTTTGTACCTTTTCCACTTCTCCTGCTAGTTCTTCCATCCAATTTTCTTGACATGGAGAATGCCATTCCAGAGAAAAAGATGGAATATCCACAATGTCTCTTACAGTAACGGTAGCATTAAAACTCTCTTGTCTGGAGCACCCTCAGTTCTAAGCACGGGGATCAAGTGGGGTCAAATCTCTACACCTCAATTAAGCAATCCCGTTTTAGACTAGTGTTTGCCCAAATCTTTTTAGAAGATAAGCAGTCATAATCAGAGCTTGAAAGTTTGTTGGCGAACAACCGCTCCCAGAATCCCCCAACCAACGCAGCCACTGGCGATACTGGTTGGAAAACACTATGTCCTATCATTCAAAAAGGGGGGAAAATTAAAGCTCTGTTTTTGGACATATAGGAGGAAAGAAAGTCTCAAAAAGACCTGGCCATCCTCTAGGTTACCATGAGCCTGTGAAAAACATTATTCTGGGTTAAACATGACTTAGTTGTATTATGATACCAACAAATCCGGCTCACTGCACTGGGAGCAGAAATGCACAGTAGCATTCAGATTTGTATTCTTATGTAGTTGAGCAAGGATTGGTTGAAAGCAAAAAGTCATGGGTGGACCTATACTTGTCCCAAAGCAAAGGAATTGAAATCACAGATCACATACACGCCCATTTAGAACATAGGCACATTGAAGGATCCGTCTTGTACCTTACTGAGTTCGAAAGCAAACACTACAGCACAATCCCATTTGCCATTCCACTCACTGTTCAATACATCACTTGTGCTATGGGAGACCTGAAATGAAAAACAGATTTTGATCAGGTCAGCCGCTATCCATTGTCACATAATCTTTAGTTGTCTAGTCCAGTTGATCTGGTATTTGTAAGAAGGAGGTTTTATTGGATGGGCTCAGCCCAAGGTAAGCAGACTTGTTTTGTTTGTTTGTTTGTTTGAGGGAATTAGAGTGGTGCTCAGCTCTTGTGTTTCTTGGAGTGGAAATTAAGATACAAAAAAGAGGTATCAATATGTCCATGTTGCAAATGAGGGAGGTTCATCTGTGACATGAATTTCTTACATTTGGACCCATAGCTTCAGCCATACTGTAGTTATTTACTTTAAACTGAACATTTTTTTTGTTTGAGTGAATTTTTGTGCTTTTTGAAAAATGTAGAAAGAAAGATATCAGTGTTAGGAAATGTTTAGGTTAGAGCAAGAATTTAAAATCCACTGTAATATAACAAAGGAAACAATCAATAGCAACAATACTGTAAACCTTGAGTATACTATAGAAGGTAGACTAGCTTCTCTAAACCAATCTATCTGGATCTCCAATGAAACCATGCTCACTCAGAGAGTAGAGGGAAATTGCTGTGTAAACCTGGCTAGAATCCTGTTGTGCTACAAACTACTGTGTTAACGGCAACCATGCACACAATCGAAAGAAGATGGTGTCGCCTCTTTGTTACACACCCATAGTCTTCAGTTTGTGTAACTGGCTGCACAATCAAATGCATGAATGGCACACAGAAGACTGTGAGAAATGGCTATAATAAAAATGTTGCCTCCCCCCACTACATTTTCTGCCATATTCTCTGTTTCCAACTTTGACTATACAATGGGACAAAATTTAGCTACGCAGGACGGATTTCAGTTGTTATGTGTGACTAGTGTAGACCAATTGAATTAATGGCACTTCCTAAGTCAACACTTAGTGTCCCATCAATAATGCATTGTCTCATTAAGTCAACATGCCAGTCCTATTAATTCAAGGAACCTATTATAGCTGGGGCTGAAAATTGTATTTCATCCCCAAAATGTAAAGGATCTGAATGTAAAGGGTCAATACTTGTATTTATTTTTTTCAAATTTTCACACATACCATGTTAAGGCATTTCCACAAAACGCTGGCTTGGGCACTGAGTGGGATGATGAGTTTTCCCTGACCCCATGAGGGCACCTTCCTTTCTGTGGACAACATGCAGCCAACAGCCCTGCAGTGTTGCTGTGTCACTGGCTACAGCTGGGGAATCCATGTGCTCAGTTTGGAGCATTGTGTACGGAGTGAGAGTTCTTTTAACTTTCACTTACTTCTGCAAAAAAGGAGCAGATCTTTTTAGATTTATACATTGTCACTTAACTGAGACCAGTGGTACTCAGAACTTTCCCCAGATATCAGTTGTTCCTTCCTATTAAAAAAAGAAAGAAAGTTAAAACTTGCCTTCTGAGATGGCCGTCGTTTTCACTCCTCATGTTCCCATTCCTTCTGAGTCAAACTGTGAGATACACGTTTACAAGGATATGATTAAGAGTCTCCCCGCTCATGAGGAGCTTACTGATGTAACTGTACAAAGGAGACAACAGAACTGGGAAAGCTTAGACCTTCAGAAAAATGCCAAATCCCCTTGGAAATGTGTCTGGGCCTTCACACAAGAAGCCTTATGATTGTGCAATCATGTGGGAGGTAAAGCTTGCTGATCTCATTGCTTAGCAGAAGAAAATGCTTTGAAACGGGTCTAGGGCAACCAGGGTATCCGACTCAAAATAACACTCCTGCTATTATTGCTCTCCGAGGAAGGGAAAGGTCAGAACAGAGGGGGAGGCCACTGCCTCTTTATACCCTGTCTTGAAATTACTATTTAAATTTTTAAAAATTTAGTCCTGTATGTATGGATTTAACAAGTGCCATTGGATTAGTTCTGTCACAAGGATGTGTCTACCATCTGAGTCTCTTCCGCCTTATATTCATATCTTGCCTTGTTATCCTACACTTTGTTCAAGCACCCACATGGCTTTCTCTCCCTGCTCATTCCGTTTTATTTACTCAACGATCTTGTGAGAGACGTTGGCTGAAATATAGCGTCTAGTTTAAGGCAACCCAGCTGAGTTGTGTTAGAAATTAAACCCAGACCTCCTGCAGCTGACCCCACTGCCCAAGGCTTTTGAATGCACCATTACTGAATGCTTGTGTCTCTTACAGGAGTTTCCCGGGGTCTAATGACCAGCGCACGAGTCTCCAGCTCAAAACCATTTCATGATCATGAAAACCTCAGCAAAGACAACTTTACTTACCAAGATTTTCTACTGCTGTCTGTAACTTCTGTCTGATAATCACCTTGCATCCACATACTCCATTTATCACTTGGTTGGCAGTCAGCAGCCTGCGGATACAATCAATTGAATCGATCAATTCACAGTGCTCTGTTAAATACATGCCCACGCCACTGCATTCTACTCTATGAACATTATTTAAAGCTTTCTCACAGCAGGTTAGCTCTGCACCTATTTGTATTAAATAATAAGCATATTGTCCCATATATTAACCTAAAGCATGGGCTTGGTGCAGATCCAGTTCTGTGATCATTAATTCCTTGAAACTGAACTGATTCCAGCAATTTCAGAGCCACACTCTTAACAGTCTGTCATCTGAGGCAAAGTTTTAGTTGCATCTTTCCACAATCTCATGATGTCGGAAATTGTTGTGCTCCTGTATCTGCAAGAACAGACTTTACTCTGCACGTTGCATTGGCCCATGTGACGCAGAGCTTGGAAAGTTTGGATAAGTTACCATTCCTGAAGTTCCCAGAATCCCTTTGCCCGCAAGGACAGCTCTGACAGCCAAGGCTGCTGAAGTGCAGAAAGAAAAAGCAAAGAGCACTGGATAGCAGCTTTGTCCTTAACGTTACTGAGAAAGAAGCCTGACTCTTCAGTAGCACTTCCTGGCTGCTAAATTAATTGAGGTTAACTGGTGAATAATATATGGGTCTGTTGAACACTTCAGGACATGTACTTCCTCCCAAGGTTGCTTTATCCCATTGTCACTCAATAGAACAGAGCCAAAATACGTATGCATATCCCACAGTGCTCTTTGTTTTTGCATTACCTGACAATGGCACAGCCTTTCGTTTGCAAGTGTTGTCAGTGAGAGAACCTTTTGGGGGAGATGAATTTACAGAATTGCCATAAGTTACAAATGACTTTGTGGCATATAAGAAAAACAATGGCTGGATTCTGTAACAGCTTGCATTAGAAATGTTTTTCTGTGCCCAGTTAGCAGAAAGAGAATATAGTGCTGGAACTACTAAACTTTAATACTAGAAGTAATAGCATGAGTTGTTGTTATTGTTGTGGTTGTTGTGGGTTTTTCAAGCTCTTTGGCCGTGTTCTGAAGGTTGTTCTTCCTGACGTTTCACCAGTCTCTGTGGCCGGCATCTTCAGAGGACTGGAGTAGGAACTCTGTCCATGTTGTTATTGTTGTTGCTTTTTACAAGAATATATACTCCACCATAGAATAATTGTAATGCAGGCATGAATTTCCCATACCAGCAACAGGCCTCAGGAGCCATATTGAATTAAAGAGGCTTTTCAATGTAGAGAAAACTATTTTCAAGTCAGGGGTTATAGAAAACGTTGTAATTATCCCCAGAGTTATTTATTGCTGTCTTTTAAATGGCAAGATTAGCATTCATTTGGTTGTCCTGAGAGAACAGGCAAACTTTTCATTAAGGGGGATTAGATCTCCCTCTGGTTAAAACTCATTGAATTCCTCTATCACATCACCTTTATTTTTTGAGCCTGTTGTAATTCTTCCCTGCCACATTCCAAGTTCCTAATAAGGCACGTAAGAGATATATGTGAACCTGTCTAGTGATCTTGCATAAAGTCAAAATATTAACATTAACAATATTAGTCTGATGAAACATGGCTATTTATAAAGTGATCAAAAGGTTGCAGTATATAAAGGAATGCATGACTTGGACCTAAAGCATCTATTATATATGCTGCCACAGCAGCTACAATACAGTATAACTAGGGTTGTTAGGTCAGCAACATCCCATTCCCTTGGATTTCAAGCCCCAAAGCCCTGGATTAGGAGGTGTGTTCATGTGACAACTTCTTGTTATGTCACAGAAGTAGATCAAGTAAGTGAGCTCTGCAACCAGCTGGTAATGAGTGCCTAAATGTACCTAAGTTATAGAAACACCTGAAAAACAAAAATCAAGCTTTCCTCTCTTTCAGGGCTGCTTGCCTTGAGATTTGTATCACAAGATGTGGATAAACATAGCAATTTCCTGAACCGTCAGCTGACACTCTGCCACTGACAACCCTTAGGTAAAGCATCTTCTGAAAGTAAACTGAAAGTAGCTGAAAACAATGCATAAATAAGACATTTTGCTTCCTCAGAACAAGATGCTCTTCCTTCCATTCCCCTAGAGAAGTTGGTGGGACTGCCAGCTAAAATCTGCATTAGCTTAGAACTGCTGGAGAGCTCAGTGGTTTAGCTATCTGACTATGGAACTATGTGATATTGCTTGTGAAAATGCAATGATTACTTGGCCCCAGTACATGCAATAATATTTTAGAGACATTCCCCTGTATCTTTAATATTGAATTACATTATTCATGGCCCAAATTTTACCCTCACGAACTGGTAATACTAGTCTCCTTCTCAATCATGAAAACCAACGTTGTTTGTCAAGGGCGTACATGATTTTCTCTAATATTTTGCTTTGCAGGACTGCTTTTCCATGGTCAATATTTCCTGGTATGGAGGAGCAAGTGTCACCAGCCAACAATGGCCCATGAACAATGTGAGCGTGAAATCCCAACCATTCATTATCAACAACCTTACCAAAACTCCAAATGCTTATGGATCTGTCTTAGAAAGATATTTTTTGGGATCCACTGGTAAGATTGCTTGCCTTCACTTTGTTTCCAAGTGCTGTGGACTAGAAATCACTCATTTATGGCTTTAAGCATTTGGATAGACAATTAAGAAGACACAACTCATTTAGAATTTCACTAAAGGGTAGCTGCAAATGCTGAGATATTTAATGCATTGCTGCTGTATTCTCACAGTCAGGGTGAGACCTTCCAGGAATTTCCTTCTTAGGGGCAAAAATAACTAGAATAGACCTGGGTGTTATGCCTCCTGGCTGGGAGGGAAAGGAACCATTTGCTTCTCCAGACAGAAAATAAAAGGGTTTGGCTGATTCTAATACAGACCAACCTAGTGAAAAAACAGAGGGTTTCACTAGACAAGACAGTGGTTCTGTATCTAGAAGCAAGCCACCCTTAATAGGAAAAGATTGTCTATTTTAACACAAGTGTGCCTGAATCCATATTTAGAAAAAAAAACCAAAAAAAAAAAAAAAGAGAGAGAGAGAGAGCGAGAGAGCTTGCTTTTATTTTGTAATTGGATCACATATTTGTCTTAACATGTGATCTGATCCAAAGGGTCCTACTAGACAATCTCCACTCGGATTTAGCAGGTGACAGCATATACCCCTGCAGTGATGGGTGTACCTTGGAGCTGCATGCCTGAACAATCAGATGTGCCTATGACGTTAGGTGTTTATCTCCTGATAACCAATCAGAAAAAAGCAAGCTAACTTGCAAGAGACAGAAATTGTAGTGAAAAGAAATAACTCTCCCAGGCTCTGATATACTCCTGAAGGAGGATGTGCAACATATCTGTTGTTTAGTTGTTAAGTCGTGTCCAACTCTTCGTGACCCCATGTTACAGAGCATGCCAGGCCCTCCTGTCTTCCACTGCCTCCCGGAGCTGGGTCAAATTCATGTTGGTAGCTTCGATGACACGTCTAGGGCTGTGTAAATAGGATCTTACACAAGAATCGACAACCTTGGTAAACAGAGAAAGCCTGCGTCATGCTGTGGTCACTTTGGACATTCTATGTGCATTCATTATGAAAAGAGACCTTATTGCATTGATAGTATTCATAGCTTTATATACCTTTTGCTAGTTATACATATTATTCATAAGAAAAGAACAGAACGTTACCATGATCTCAGCCAGGAGCTGCACAACTGGCATATCTGGATCATGCGTACAAGGCTAACGTGATGCACAAACCTACAAATCAAAGCTCCGAGAAGCCTAGGTTGTATTTCTTCATTCCCTACCTAAGATAGTCCACAGAAACTGTATTTATTTAGGACCATATGGTGCAACAGAGAGGTTTGTGGCCTTTGGTGCAGCATAGGGGTGGCTTTTGGATTGAGCAAGGGAGCAAATCCCTTCATAATTTAGGGGGGGGTACTGTTTTACTGTGGCCACTAACCACCTATAGTGCAACATAGACAACAGGGAGGTATAGATAGGCTTATTATGTCCTTAAAATCATCCTCCATGAAATCACAAGGAAGAAAAGATGGTTTTTGTTTCTCACTCTGTAAGTCAATCACCAAAGGATGTCAAATGTATAATACTGTATAATGAAACATATTCTGAATGGTCTGATTCAACCTTCTATTTTGTTTTTATTGCTATAGGGGTGACAGTGACGATTGCCTCAGATATTCCCATCTCCCTTTTAGTAGAAAGGAATACACAATTTTGCCTCGAGAGTCTCCTTAGCAGTGAAATGGCTTCCTTGCAATACAGTGTATGTGTCAGTCCAGACATCACATCTGCCCATCAGGACGTGGGAAGCCAGTTATCGGGACAACAGCGGAGGATGCCAGAGACTAACCTCCTAAGGTATGAAAGTCATGGGAAAGTTTATTGTGTGACCAAGATACGCCCACAAAGTAACTGTCTATTCTCTGGTTCCCTTAGAATACCTGGGGCAAATCAGTGGTACTTAAAACAAAGCAAAAGGGCAAATTGGAAAGTTAACCTTTCCAGTATTTACTAGCTCTCTGGTTCAAATCATAAACAGATGCTTTTCTAATGGGTTGCCCTGATAGTCTGTGGCAGCAAAACCAAGGAGTCCTATGGCACAGTAAAAAACTAGTGTTTGATTTGACACAAACTTTCATGGACAGTTCTTCTGATGCAAGAAGAGATGTATTTTTCACAGGCACTTTTACATACCTCTGAAGCAGTGGGGTAGAGTTCGCAAAAGCTTATGTGGAACACACACATATTGTAATTGTGGGGAGCAGGGGAAGCAACATGGCAGAATTCTGGGTGTCTACAAGCTATTGGATATTTAGGTGCATTGGTTCCTTGGGATACATCTCAAATGATTAAGATGGATCTCAACATAACTTTGGGCATGTTCATCAACCAGGAATATAATTATTTGTATGTTCAACTAATCACTACTGATGGCAAATTATTGAGGGTTTTTTTATGCCTATGGAAGAATGTGTCACTTCTTCCATAGGCACATTGTTGTTTAGTCATTAAGTCATGTCCGACTCTTCATGACCCCATGGACCAGAGCATGCCAGGCCCTCCTGTCTTCCTCTGTCTCACAGAGTTGGGTCAAATTCATGTTGGTAGCTTCAATGACACTGTCCAACCATCTCGTCCTCGGTCGTTCCCTTCTCCTCTTGCCTTCACACTTTCCTAACATCAATGTCTTTTCCAGGGAGTCCTCTCTTCTCATGAGATGGCCAGA